GTCTCATTCCTTGCTACCAAATACCAAGATGTAATCTTCAAGAACACCCGTCTTAGCCTTTGCAGTCAGACATTAAAGACCATTACCAACATTCACACAAGTACGAACTCTGAAATCTCTTCTGAACTTTTACCAACTTGTACAATACACAATTCCAAACATGCTAAAGAAACTTTATTCTTCTAAACTACAGTTTAATAATTACTTTCACTTTATGAACTTAGGTACAAATATTACCTAATCTAAGAGACACAACTCTGTCTAACATTTCACTCAGTATTCATGCATCTATATCAAATATTAATAAATTCAATTGTTACATTTTGAAACAAGATGTTTATGAATCATTATTTCTGTCTTGTATTAATTGTTGTGGATGGAAGATTATTGAACACACACAATTTTAAGCCTTCTGATAATTCAAACCTTCTGATAATTCATACCTTCAATTCCTCTCCAACACACATCACACATCCACAACACCATTATTTTTGTAAGTAGGTATTCCACACTGTGATATTAGAAGATCTCTGTTCTTAATGAAAACTGTACATTTTCAATAAACACACTTTCATTTCTTTATTTTATTTTATTGAGTAGATATTTCATAAAATTTCAACTGGTCATGACTTTGTATTTGTTCTATGTCATTTTGTTGAAAACATAGATGGTATAAATACTTCCATATCCATAACAGTTCAATAATAAAAGATTTCAAACATGATTATTCCTATAAAAGATGTTGTCCCATATAAATGATGTTTAGTTGATTTTGTTTAGTGGCATATCAACCTCTATGGGTTATTTAATGTCGAAATCTAAGTATTTTGAACACAATTTGAACCTAATTGAATGCCTTCAACAACTGATAGAATGTTGGTAATTTTACTATAAAAATGTATTGTTGGTATTTTACTATAAATAGGTATTGCTGGTAATTTTTTTATAAAAATGTATTGTCAGTAATTTTATGATAAAAATGTATTTTTATACTTCATATTGATTTGTTATTTTTTTTTTTGGAGGTTCACTATTTACCCATAGCAGGGGTCCTAACATATGCTACATCTCTGGGTCAGGGTGGCCCTGGGAATAACAGTAATTAAGAGATGGTTCCATGCACCTCAAAACCTCCAATCTCCCAATCAGAGGCCTTATTGATGGAATGCTTCTTTGCTTTATGCTATTTCGCTTTATAGAAGTTTTGCAGTGATAGCAACAAATAAATCACTAAATCACCTCTTACTCTTAATACTAAAAAAAATAAATAAATATTCAAGGGATTTCTTTCATGCAGCAATTCATTGATAGTTCAATTTATAGGCATATAAAAACCAAAAGAATAAATTTCAAATAGTAGGATTATAAAACCAAAAGAATAAATAATTAATAATAAAAGAAATATTAAAAGTTAAGTAATAAAATTACTTAAAATATAGATAAGAATGATAATTAACAATAAATAAAGAAAAAGTGAAATAATAAAAAGATAGTTAAATAAGTATGAAAACTCCCATCATGCACCAGAATAGGCATTTTGCCATCAATTGAAACAGAAATCAAATTTTCTCTCTCATCATCTTTGATGGCCAAACAAAGCAGATTACCAAGTACACTGCTTTGATTCCCCATGTAGCTCCCACCAGATAAGCAAGAAATTCTTATCTCTGTACACTTAACATATATTGAAATATACAAACATTTCTCTGAAATGTATGCTGGAGCATTTTATCATTTTATTTACACTTATTATGTTGCATTTTGTATATGATTTGTTTGTAATTTATATATTTCTGTTGTGGGGGCTGATGATGTCTTTTTAAACCCCAAACAAAATTACATATTTTTAATAAAAAAAAATAAGAAGTACATTCAGAAAATGCATCATCAGAACAATCACAATTTTATAGGTACACTTACTTTCAGATAGCAGGAAAATATTGCATATCAGAGAAGATATGAAGTCTGACTTAATAACATACTGGTAGAGCACTTGGTGATTCTAACTGAATTTCAGAGTTGCCAGACAGAGGCAATTTTTGAAAGACCAGTATTGCTAAATTTTGAATCTCACTACTTGTAAATTTTCTGGGTTACTTTTAAAATAAGCTGGTGTTGTGATATCCTTCCTTTCTCTCTCCAAATAAGTATGGCTACACTTGGCCAGTCATTTGACCCATCATGGCCAATCAAAAGTTCCCGTTTTTACAGAAACCTAGAGATTTTATAGTACCTGGAGAGGAATGATATGCTTTTGATTTATGAGTAGCAACAGCTCTTTGCAACATCCTCCACTTTTTTTTCATGATCAGATTGAAGGCATATTTTATATTTCATGGGTGTTTTCATTTTTAGAAAATAGAACTTTGTTTTTATTCTTCAGACTTCTCTGTTTATTTTTACTCTATTTTAAATGGGTAGGTATCTGCTTCAGTGGCCAAATATCAGCAAAGCCAATAAATTAAATTCTCTCAACTAGCACTACAGAATCACAAACAAAGAGTACAATGTTTTTGAGAAGTTATCAGTTATAGAGTACTTGTGGATGTTATTTCATGATGTCTGTTTTCACTATTGGAAGTGGAACTTGTACCACTGATTCATCACTAAAGATACTGGAAAAATGATCAGTTCCCTGTACCGCTCCAGTAGGTACCTGACTCCTTCTGCTATCCTTTAGCTTTACAAGAGCTATATCAGGTTGAAAATAGAGTATTGCTGCCATATATGGGGAGGAGCTGCACAGTCTTCACTTTCCAGTTTTGTCCAAATGTATTTCCATGTTGTTGTGGGTGATGAATTATTTTCTACTCTACAAATCCTTTCCCACAGGTAAATTGTCACAAGCTTTTGTTATGGTGTGATTAGTAGTTGGGTTGATCAAATATATAAATGTGGCTGCGTGTTTCAAGATAATCAACATCCATACATTTAATTTAAACATCAAGGAAAAAAAATCAAGCTCAGTGAACATTAATAATATATTGTATTAACAATGGTATACAAATTTCAACAATAAGTATAAAGAAAGTTGCTTCTCTTTTTTCCGTAATAAAAAGGGTAAGTTTAGCTAATAAATGTTGAGTACAAAATTGAATGTAATTTAACTACAAAGTTCAATTGAAGTCTTAGCTAAATACAGAATAATTCCACAGTGTTTTATCAGTGTAGAAAGATGTAATGTTCATGAGTGATATCAACAGGAATTAGTATGATTACTCGAATTAGTAATAATTAAGAATTAAAATGTCAATATAGCGCCGTGCCTTATTTTCCAAGAATTGAACTGCTACTGGTCTTTTTGGTTGATAGCGAGATTCTTTTTTTTATAACGATGGGTAGGCTCCGGATAGCTTAGCGCAAAAATATAGAAAAGATACTAAAATACGTGATTGGTCAGGAAATGGACCAATCCGTGATTTTAGAGAAAAAATTTGAATTACTTGCGATGGTTAAATTGTCCTATAATAAGTATCATGTATTTATTAACCAATGAGAATTGGAGAAAATGTAGGCGTGGCACTACACCTTCATCTCACTGCTCTATTGCTATTTCTATGGAAAGTGTTTAGATTAACAACATTCCTTAGTTCCACCAATTCTAACCTTCATGGGTAAAACCTGCCATGACACACATTGTAGCAAACCACCCTCATCCCCTTCATATTCCAATGGTGAGATGTAAGCTCTACTCAAGGAGCTTTGTCCCACGAACCTCTGCTTTGTGGAAGTGACTCCCAAAAGGATACTTCCTCGATTACTACACTCTTAACCTGTTCAAATCTAGAGTTAACCATTATCTTCTCTACATATCCCCATAAACTGTGCCACATACTTTGTAACCTTTGCCTCAAGTGGCTCTCTCTTGGGCCTTGTACAGGATCATTGTAAAAAAAATCTAAAAATAGACACATGAAAGCAGATTTGGTGTCACCTCATGCAGATGTAACAGTAAGCACACCACATGACTTTCTCAACCAATGGCAACGTGACAAAAAATATTAAATTTTGTCTTTCATTTGGAGCCTATTTCTAATCTATATAAGAAGAGACCAAAAGACATGTTGGGACTCACAGCAACAAGACATAGGACTCCACACCAGATGACTCACAGTAAACAAACATGGGAGCATATATAAGAGTACCCACAATATATATATAGGATTAATACAAATAAATATAATTAGTCATTTACATGTATGTTTTATGCTTGGTAATGTGTGTAAATATCTGTATATGCAAACAAATTGGGGAAAAGCCTAAAACTTTTAGCTGTGGTAACATCTGGTGGGAGTGGTTTATAGAAAAATAAATAAATAGTGTATTTTTAAATTTTACTACCAGGAAGGTGTAATAGATGCATAACATGTTTTTCCCCTATTCAGTTTATTCAAACAACTGAATAAATTGTATAAGTCAAAGTATATCGACAACTGTTAATTTAAGCAAAATACATTACTTACATTTTTAAATTTTATTTGTTAATATTTTCATTTACAGATTGTAAAAAAATATTTTTTAATGTAAGCTATACAGTTTTATATTATTTATCAGTTGCTAAAAATACGTTAACAGGAATAATTTAATCGTTATCTTTACGATTAATAAATATATTTTTATCTAATTTAATTACATGAGTAAAATATACATTAAAAATAATTTTCCCGAAACAACATTTTATTCTAACACTATATAAGGCAGGGAATCAAAAAATTTAACTACGCTATTTGAGACAAGTTTTAAATATTACCTTGTCAAATATTAAGCAGCGAATCATTATCTTCCTTTTGATTAGTTAAAACTCTACGGAAAACAATACAAATAACTTTTTTGAAAATTTATCAAATGTAAACGAAAGTTGTAATTATTATTTTATTTCTAAAAATTTTTTTGACTCAATAAAATTTCTCAAAACTGAAAACTTGTTAAGCAAGTTACCCATGTGTATTTTGTTCGATTCGTCCAATGAAAATAGCACACATCTTCTCCTGATCAAAAACATGGCAGCCGCCAGGATGGTAAGTATGGCATTGCTTAAACGTTTTTACTTATAATTTACTGGTGTTAATTCATTTTTAGGTTTTAGTTCCTATTTAATATCATGCACTAAACATGTAGTTCTTTAGCTTTATTTAAAAACTTAATGTTGGTTGGTATATGTCGCCAGTTCCTATTTTCCGGTACTTACTTAACGGCTGTAAACAAACCGTAAAATGAAAAAAAGCCGGTGAAAGACGTGGATAGTTAGATTATTGATCAACGTTAATTTTTATTTCTTTGAAGAAATATTTAACTTATTTTTAAATATGTTTTTTTTATCCTTTGTCTGAATTTTATATTGGTATATATATATATTTTTAGGTGAATCTTGTGTCTGCATTTTTTTCGTAAAAAAAAAAAAACAATATAAAAAAAACAGTCACTTCAACAAAACAAAACATTTCGAAAATTTCAAATGCGAATATTTTTTTCTTCTTTTTTTTTAATATTGAGTGTGAAGCCAAATTGTAATTTGTTGCCGTTATTTTTATTGTATTTTTTTCCATGGTTGATAATATCTCTCTTCCTTTCTCTTATTTTAATTTTGGAATTGATGTAAACATTCGTTCTCTTTAAGAAAAAAATAAATGGAATCACTTTTTCGAAGTGTAATCTGAATCACGTGATGCATTAAATCTATTTTAAACTGCAAGGTAATCAGAATTGTTGTTTTTCCTGTTTAAAAAAAAAAGCCTCACTTGTTCAAATCTCGAAACTACCGCGTTACACTGTCTTTTTGATCACTTCCTGAAAATGGCCCAAATAAAAATATAACTTCTTACTTCGCATGCTTAGCATGCCACAATAAATACAAAATGAATAATAAAAAAAAAAATCATTATAGTTTTAAAAACGTTGCTATTTTAAGCTTGGCATTTTCAGAAAACAAAGCAAACAAAAAACATTTCATTTAACCTTTTTCTCAACGATCATATTACTGTTCATTGTGTTCAACGATCATTCATTTTTTTTTAATTGTACTTTAACTTAACTTACTTATTTAAGGTATATCGGTTTCCTTTTAGCACATAGTTAATCACGTCTGTGTTATTTGAACCTTTATGCGACGTGTTCCAAAAAAAAACAAAAGTCTGAGAAAAATAAAGACTTGACAATTTTTACTATTGACACTTGTAAAGAAACCACTTCCGAGTCGGAAAATAAAAAAGAAAGATGTTTCCTTGACTAACGGAAGCGTTTTTTTTCCCCACTTTACTAAGCAAAGGAACAAAAGTTTTTCATTTTCCTTCCGTTTTATGTTCAACAGCAATATTTCAACTTTCTGTTAACTCAAACTTCTCTCTTTCTATGCTTCTTGCTTAATTCTTGCTTGAGAGAAATAGACCCATAAAATAAATATTGTAAATGTGAAATACGTGCAGATAGCGTAACATTTATCGGTACGGACTTTAAAAATTACGACCGAGTCTGTTTCGATCACTTTCACTCTTAGTCTGAATTCCAAACCGTGAAGAAAATGATCCACTATCTTTCCCAAAATGGCATGGCAGATAGTAAACAAAAAACAATCTGTAAAGAGAGCTATCATCACCTGCTTTATGAAAGGACATGGTCTAATGAAAAAAAAAAAAAAAATCAACTAGTCACTGAAACAAAAAAACTCTGAAACTTAGAAATATATTGGGATTTTTTTCCTCCCACTCATATAGTTATATTTACATTAGCACATTTCAAGCCTCTTTTTCTTATTACCACAGTCAAACAAATTTTGGAAACACCTGTAAGACTTCCAAAAAATGTTATTCAAACATTAAACAGCAATAAAGATAGTTCTGAAGAACAATTATTTCCATTTTTGGGAACCAGTTGTAACAATGTATCAGCCTAACTAAACTATTCATACGAGGAAGTAAAGAATAAATTTTGAGTTTTGTTACATAGATATTGCACTGCAATGGCAGTGTATACAGTGGATTAATAGAAAAATGTTGTTCTCTAGGAGAATGCAAGGCAAAATACAGCAAGAATAAAATGGGAAAACATTTTTGAACTCTATTCTTTCCCACTTGCAATATTCACCTGACCTTGCACCAACCGATTATTACAGTTAGTGATCACTGCAAAATGCTCTGATTGTAAAAACTTTCTTCACTGAAAACCAGATTCAAGGGTTTATTAAATACTTTTTCAAACCAAAACTTGCATAATTTTACACAATATAGTTTAAAGAGCTGCCTGTTAAGTGGCAACAAGTCATTGCAAATAATGGTGAATATATAATTAAATTAAATATGTAATATTACTTCTTTCTTTTTTTTTTTTTTTTTTTTTAAGAATAAAGTTGATAAGAAAAACTGAAATTATTTATGACTCTACTTAATATATAGAATAATATATTTCCTTTTAAAATCTTGGAAAACAAAGTGCATTAACTAATTTTGCAAAATGGCATTAACATTATTAACTTTATTCAGACAATTTATCTCCTTCATGTTGCTGTTATTAGATGTTGGTAGGACTATTATACAAGTGTAAAAGACTGTAGAAAGGGTTGGCCAAAAATTGTGGTATCATTACAGTTGTTTAAACAAAACTTGGAATGTTAATGACTTTCTTAAAGTCTTAGATATATTTACAGCTTGGAACTGATCTTATCATCGAATGGGGAAAAGACAGAAAAGCTATCTGTTTTGAAGTGCAAAAACAGGCATTTCTTTTTCTATTATATATAATATTTTTCTTTTTTTTTGACTATTTTGCTTAATAGTTCAGTTCAGATGAAATTTTCAAACCGATTTTGGGGAAATTTTTGCTGTCTGAAATTATAGTTTATAACTATGTTTAGATATGATAAAAAAAAAATTGCCTCAGTTTAAATTGCCACCAGGAAGATATGTTAAATTATTTTACTATTATGACCCATTTTATAGTCATGGAAATGTAGGGTAACTTAATGGGAAACAGAATCTGTCCACAGAGTTCAAATTCTGATTTGTATTATTCACTTTTTACTTAGGCTCTAGGCAGAGAAACAAAAATTTGTCTTTTGTTGCACTTCATCTGAACAGATTGGCATGTCAATGGTTGATAGAAAAGTTGGGTGAGTGAACACTTGGGAAAAGGCATTGTCATATCCAGGTAGTATCAGCAAAAATGTGTTACCTCTATTGAAAACCTTGACAGGGTTCAGTTAAATAAGCTAATATTGATAATGTTGATTACTACTTGATTTGGTTCAAATCTAGTTGGTGGTATCAAACTTCTGCCTACTTGTTAAGTATAACGGTAATTCCTGTATAATATAAGTATAAAAAGTTCTGATAAGGTTTTTTATATATATATATATATATATATATATATATATATATATATATATATATGAGAAACTATATATTACTAAGTTCATAAAAAATAAAAATTTACTGAATCAGAGAAATGAAATAGCTATTTTATGCCGTCATTGTCAAAAATTTTCCTTAAATAATATTTAAAATTAAAAATTTATAAAAGTGCGATCAGGTAATATACATACTTATATTTAACATGAAAATTAATTTTATATACTGTAAGTAATTCTATTACATTTACTTGTTTTTTCATAAAAAAAAAAATAGTCTATTAAAATAACACTGAAAATATTTTAAAGTTGTATTTAAAATTGTAGTTGATACAAATTCTAACCTAAACATCTTTTTAAAATTGTAGTTAAATAAAACATATTCTAACCTAAACACCTCTCAAAAAGTAATACCGGCACTCAAATGAATCCAATAAAACACCTACTGAAAAATGAAATTATGATGAAAAGCTAGAAGATGTAGGCCATTGAATGACCCATGTCCTTTGTACATACATGTGAAACTATATATTACTAAGTTTATATATATATATATATATATATATATATGTATATATATAATATAAAAATAAAATAAAGTTTACTAAATCAGAGAAATGAATTAGCTATTTTTGCCATAAGTGCTAAAAATTTTACTTAAATAATATTTAAATGTAAAATTTTTAAAAATCGTAATATACATATACTTGATATCGAAAAATAATTTTACTTACCGTAAGTAATTCTAATACATTTACTTCTATTAAAAGAAATATAGTCTATTAAAACTAACAATGAAAATATTTTAAAGTTGTAATTAAAATTGTAGTTAAATAAAATGAATTCTAACCTAAACTTCTTTTAAATTGTAATTAAATAAAACGTTTCCATACCTAAAGTACTACACACAATTAAAAGAACCCAATAAAACACACACAGTAAAATGAAATTAATATGTAATATTGCTAGGAGACGTAAGCTTTTGAATGACCCATGTCCTTTGTACTTACATGAGAAACAATATATTACTAGGTTTATATAAAAAATAAAAGTTTACTAAATCAGTGAAATTAAGTAGCTAATTTTGCCGTCATTGTCATAAATATTACTTAAATAATATTTAAATATTAAAAAAAAAAAAATTTTGTAACCTAATAATTTACATACTTATACTTGATGTGAAACTAATTCTACATACTGTGTAAGGGATCCTAATTACATTTAATTGTTCTTAAAAGAAATATAGTATATTAAAAATTAAAAGGAAAAATATTTCAAATCGTAGTTAAATAAAAAATATTCTAACCTAACCCCCCCCCAATCTTTAAATATACGAATGGGGGGGGATGCCGTAAGAATTTTTGCCGTTAACAATAAAATTTAAAAAAAAAAAATCCAGACGACACATTTTTAACGGATGTTAGATTTCATTGAAAAATACATCCCTACCCACCACCAAAACGTAGCAATAACTGATACATTAAATATAGACATAATGAACACCCAGACACCTCTTGTCTAGTAAACTGGATTTATCTGTAACCTTGGGAACATGAATTATGATTTTAGCTGTGTCTTTAAAACCAAGTAATTTTAAAAGTTACTCCAAAATTCGCTTGAGGATGAAATGGAACTAATGTCTTTAATTTAATTACAAAATTAAATTCGGGGCTTTTAGCT